CTACCAGATCTGTTCTCGCTATTACGAGATATTTCTCGTTATAAGGAGATCTTTTCTTTTTTATAATAAGATACATTTCTCGTAATTACGAGATAATTTTTTCGAATAACGAGATAATTTTATCGTAATTATGTGATAGTGGGACGTATTTCTTTCAACTTGATACTAATAGGCTTTTTTTTCAAAAGAGGATAAAATATATGCAAGATTTTATTAGCCATGAAAGGAATTTGTACTTTAAAAAACTTTAAAATAGTTAATACCAATAATGTTTCTTGTCAAAAAATTAAGTCTATCATCAATAATGCCGAGCGTTGCAAGGACTGTGCCGGAAAATTCGGTTATTGTTTAATTTACGTGTAGGTGTAATATGTTTAAAAAATAAAAATTTAAAAAAAAAAGCAATTCACAAATTTTGAATAATTGTTGGTAGTTTGTTGAAATGTTGGAAAAAAAAGATACATGCAAGCACTTTTAATATTTTGAGCAGAGTCTACGAACTTTCTGACTCTTAGAAGTAAGAAGTTTAAAAAAAATCTACACATAATTGGGCATATATGCAGTACAGTACTTTTTCTACAAAAAAAGGAGAATTCTCCAAACACCAATGAGATGTCTTGGGGGAAGGGGGATGTCAGGGTAGATTGATGGAGGGGGGGGGGGAAACCAGCCTTTCAATAAACATTTTCATGCTAATTAAAAGTTAACCAGAAGTCTCTGACGAGACTGTAGCTCTACTGGTTGTACTTATAAAGGAAGATAAAAGTAGCACTTGCACTTGAATCTTTGCAACAGCAATAAATAGAATAATGATCCTTGGTTTAGTCTCTTTTTGTGGCAAAATTTATAGCAATCAGACTAAAACTGTAGGAAGAGTAGCCTTTTAAAACAATTTTACAGAAATTTGGATTTAAGTAACCATGGCGACATCATTCAACAAAATCAAAATACAATAACGACAATTATTTATCTCAGTGTAGTCTACTTGTATGCCAAGTTATACTGAAATCAGACAAAAAATGTAGGAGGAGTAGAGTTTTGAAAGTATTTCACAGAAATTACTATTTTTAGTAACCATGGCAACACTGTTCATCGAAATCCAAAACTGGTAGAGAGAATTATGTATCTAAGTGTAGTCTACTTGTGTGCCAAGTTATACTGAAATCGGACCAAAACTGTAGGAGGAGTAGCATTTTGAAAGTATTTCAAAGATTTTTTTATTTTTAGTAACCATGGCGACATCATTCAACAAAATCAAAATCTGATATACAGAATTATGTTTCTTATTATAGTCTACTTGTGTGCCAAGTTATATTGAAATCAGATCAAAACTGTAGGAGGAGTAGCGTTTTGAAAGTTTTTCAAAGAAATTTCTATTTTTAGTAACCATGACAAAGCCTTGCATTGAAATCAAAATCTGATACACAGAATTATGTATCTTAGTGTAGTTTACTTATGTGCCTAGTTATATTGAAATCAGAGCAAAACTGTAGGAGGAGTAGCGTTTTGATAAATTGTTTACAGACGGACAGACAGATAGACGGACGGACGACGGACACCTTACTATCGCATAAGCTCTGGTCTCTGACCAGTAGAGCTAAAAATTAACATTCAGGGAAAAATTGTGGGCAGGGAGACAGCCCCTCCCCCTCCCAATTCTATGTGCCTGAATGTTATGTTCACCTGAGTGGAAGTCGGGTGCAAGTGACATAACTTTCCAGAACTATTTTTGTCAAATTGAAATTTCTCGATCTATTTTAAGTCCAAATCCTCATGTTCACATGGAAGGTCATGTGCAGGTGAACATAACATAGTATTTTTTACACAATGTTGTATCTCAGCCAATCAGAGAGTAATTAAATTATTCAATCATATAATAAATGGTTTTGTAGATAAATTATCGTAGAAGAGAGTGAAATAAATAGGTTGGTTGTGCATTTTATCACATGTTTACCCCTTAATCCCGTAGATATCACTCATTTGATGTTTTTTTTTTCATATACCACTGCTGTGACGTCACAGTTTTTGCGTGAAAGTGATGAAGTAAATTGATGTGGATTCATAAATAAAAAACAGTGTAAAACATTGATGGTGGCTTATCAAACATGTGATAAAAAGAATCTCCCATGATTTGTGCTTGGATATCATTTTTATCCAACGCGTTGTGTTCATGTTTTTTTTATCCCTCGCCAAGGCTCGGGGATAAAAACACACAACTCGTTGGATAAAAATCGTATCCATCCACAAATCATGGGAGATCCTATATTTATCTGAAAGTGTAATTCTAGGCAGAAGGGTGCTCCATGTAATTAGGAGTTAGGTATACCTTGTGTTATTATCGTACTGTGGGTTAAAAAATTATTACAGGAACAAGTGCCTGTGCCATTTTTGGTCTGCAGACAAATGTGTTGTTGTTGGCAATAATATATGGCTGGCGACAATATGTGCCGTAAACCTCGACATGTACTGTCGGTGGCGACAAAATATGCAAGACAACAATATATATACCGTAGCAACTCAATCACAAAATAACTTCCTCACGATATTGTCACTATTAAGTCGAATTACTGTATAGTTAGCTGCAATAATATATCCCTCTCTATATCTTTTTTTTCAGTTCTAAAAACATCAGATTAAAAATATCGGAAAGGGCTACATTACTGCAGCCAATGTATGATAGTATCCTGTTGAAAATTTGGAATTTACTCAATGGAGTTCAGCAAAATGTCAATCCAGTAAAAATTCAAAATTTACAACATGATAGTAGCAATCCCGCCATGATTTTTTTTTTCAATTAAAATTTGTATATGAACGATTTTAAATTGAAAAAATTCTAGTTGTCATATACAAATTTAAATTGAGAAACTCTAAATTTTTGTAGAGGACACATGTATATTGTTGCAAAATGGTAGGTGAACGACAAAATGTGTAGGGAACGTCGGTATACACATGCAGGACGAGAACAGGTGTTCATATTTGCACCTTGGATTGGTCTGAGTTTATAGTTGGGATAGTTGTATAGATAAAATATTCACCTTCAAAATAAGAAGAAGACAACTTACAATAATGTTGCATACAATGTGAGTACTCGCGTCCAGAGGACAAATCTAGTTATTCCATCCAACCCCGCCTCCACCCCCCAAAAATCGCCAAACCCTATAGCTGTAAAATCCAGACTTTTGTTGGGAGATTAGGGTGTTTTCTACCAAAACTGAAACTATATTTAAAAACTTAATTTTATAGGGAGCATGATCCTATATAAGAGTTATTCTTTATTTCGGGTGAAGGGAGCGGGAATTACAAAATCGTTGTAAGGTATTCAAAGATATATCTGTATGTTCTATAATCTAAGAGAGCGCACCTAATGTGTCCCCTCCCTTCTTGTGGCCGAATTCGCCGAAACGCACAGAACTTCAAATGCCCCAGTATTATTATTTTTCACTCTTGTGACAGTGTTCTTACGTTGTTGTTGTTGTTGGGGGGGGGGGTCTCAAATAGAACCACGGAGACTTTTTTGGATTATAGTGGGAAATTTGATAAATGCAGAATAATTAATAAAATCTGAATCTTCTTTACTGTCTTCGCTAGCCACGAGTTCCGATCTGTTCTTGAAAAAAGAGGGGAGAGGATCGGAGCCAGCAAATATCATTTTGAAAATGACCATAGGCAGGCCTGAAGGAAGTATTTTCATGGGGGGGGGACACAATCTAACAGATTATTCACACGCAAATAAAATTAATTAAATATATATTTAAAAAAATAAATAAATAAATAGAAAGAATAAAAAAGGTCGCCAGGCATTTTTGATGGGAAATAAACAGTAAATTAGCTGTGTGTATTATAGTATGTATTATAATTTAGGGGCACAGCTGTAAATTAGCTTTGTTTTCTATGATAAAGCATATACTGGCGAAATTATTAAGGGGAGGGGGTCGTTCCTACGGGCCTGATTGGTGCACAGTGGTGGCACATTTCTGCCTCCTATATGTGTTTTAGATAAAACTTGTAAAACTTGATTATGTCATGCAACATGCAACTTATATTTATGTTAATGTGTAGGATGCATAAAGAAATAATATACATGTACTTGACAATTTAAGGGGAAAATGAAAGAAACATGCCTCCAAAGTGCACCCAAATTGGGCAGTATAATGGCCTGATCTGTTGAAGTAAAGGCTAGAGAGAGAGAGAGAGAGAGAGAGAGAGAGAGCTCTAACGGGCGCTGTGTCTTTTGATTTTTGACCCGTGTACAATATACCAGTAAGAAATAAAAGTTTAGGAAGTGATGTACCATCATACTGATTATCATTTATAATTTTGGAATGTTAACCAGTATGAGATGCTTGTTAAATGTCAGAACTCGGAGTTTGATACGCTGCACCACAAACAAGCTTGCTTCATTCATTTGAACATTAAACCAAATCATTTGAATGCTTATTCCATTTTATCTCAAAAATCAAATGTCATATTTCTTTCTAGCGAATTCTTGCGAACCTTTTCGTCAGCATGTGTTTAGAAAATTAAAATGTAATGTCTCATTCTTATTAAATAAAAAAAGATAACCGATTGAGAAAATTTAGAGAAACTACCACACTAATGTTAAGAAATAACATAAAATTGTTTATTTGTAAACTGAGTCAACATCTGCTCTAAATTTCCTCGGCTTCACAAGTTTTTATTTTCCTTTTTTTATGATTATAATTTGGATAAAAAAAATTTAATAATATCATTCTCTCGGAATTTATATGAGTGACACCACGTCGCCCCGCCTATACTATCACTATTCACAGATTTCAAATTACTATTCACACAAGCCTTAATGTATGCACACTGTATCATTAGGTATTCACACTTCTTGAATATTTATTAGATTATTTAGTTGATACTTCAATCCTATTGGCCAAAAGTCAAAGAGAGTGTGCATAAATATTAAACCCACGTGGGTTTTGAGCCGATAAACAGCTGTTGATCTGACCAATCAGTTTGCTCCAAATATGGCTAGCTCTACTACAGTCTGCTTTGTTAACCGGCAGTCGAAACGTGTGTATATGTGTGTGGTATTTTACAAGGCGTTCACACGAATCTAAGACGTTCGTTTGTGGATAGTTAACTTTTAATTGCAAGTATTTGTTTATTTGGACATTACTAGAGCATTGTTTATGTCCATTGCACGTGTGTTATGATACATATTGAGTACGGATACTTTTAATTGGCCAAAACATTTCTATTGTGCTATTTTAGGGGATGTAAAAATTGTATAAGGAGTTATTTTCATAGAAAGATCGATGAGTTGATGTAAGGAATATTCGTCCACCGTATCGGGGATGTGACCGTTTATTTTCTCAGGAATTTAAGTTCTTTTATGGTGTGTGAATGTTCTATGGTTTGTCTATTTATACCTGAAGTTTCAAGGAATTTTAAGGTGACTTAAAACCTCGCACACAACTCAAGATGTATCCCAACAGGCACCCGGTAAGTTTCACGTTCTCACGCGCGCCAAAAACATCAACAAAGCTCTCTGTATGTACTAGCTGCCGTGAAACCAAAAATAATTTAACAAACCTTTGTACCGTTAAAGCACGCTTCAGTGCACATTGGTATCTTTTTACGAAACGGGGTCATGTGTGAATTTCTCATGTTAACACACTTGCAGACAACAACACGTGGAGTTTGTTTCTATAAATTCTATGTTGCAGGCTCCACATCAGCCAAGCCAGCCTTTTAAGTTCACGGTGGCAGAGTCATGCGATCGAATCAAAGAAGAATTCAGTTTTCTACAAGCACAATATCACACGTAAGCTGTGCTCTACAAATGTTTTTTTTTCAGTTTCTGATAAAGTCAAATAATTTTCTCGGTTCAAATTTCATTGAATAAATGAATGTAATTATCATATATTGATGAATATTTATTGAATCAAAAAAGAAATAGTGAACAGTGTTTTGAATAATGAGATTGATTTTCTCCCTTTTTTCCTCTTTCACAGTTTAAAAATGGAGTGTGAAAAATTAGCCCAAGAGAAAACAGAAATGCAAAGACACTATGTCATGGTGAGTGAAGATCATTTCAAGCGTGACCAAATGTAATGAACGTATTTACCTGTGATCAACAAGCATGTAATTTACACACACAGGTAACGTGTAGTACGCAAAAGTGGTATGCCATTTACAAGTTTTGTTATCACTTACTTTGAAATTAGAGAATATGGACGAACATGAATACACGTGTTATCCTCATGGCACAAAAACCAAATTTTCAGTTACTTGAAGAAGGGGAATTTCCAATTGTTTACTTGAGCAGAACATTTTGTATTAAAAGCATTTCAATTTTTTGTTATAAAACCACTAAAGTTGACGATCCATGCACCCATCTGAACACAATGGCATAATTACCATACATGTGAAGAGCCCTCATTTTAACTGTAATTCTAGAACTTGTCGCGTTATTTAAAAGTCTACGAGTTCTTATAGATGTTGTAAGCCGAAGTATTTTGTTAATTGATTTTAAAACCTTGCTATTTGATACACCTAATACTTATTTTTCAGCAGTGGCTAGGGCATAAAATAATTGACAAAAATGTTTTTGGAAGACTATAAAGAATTCTTCCTTTGTAAATGATATCATTTATCCATATTTATTGTGTCCAAAGTCCCCTCTTTGCACCCCTACTGAATGGTCACTATATTCCCTCTAAATTTTTATTTAGTCTAGTTTATGCATGGTATGGTTAGTAATCTCTTCTGGACATGAGATTGATCTTTATCACTAATATCAACCCAGTCTCTAATTAACATAATGGACAGACAGGTTATTAATCACCTGTTATGTAACTGGGTGTCAAAATAACCACAGGATTCCATAGGGGATGTACTTTTTCAGTCAGGCATGACTGCCTTGAAATATCCTTTCCTCTCCAGAGGAAAGCAAGCATGTAATGTAATTGTAAGTAATAGTGGGACTAGATAGAAATTTCACCTGCCTGCCACCTTCAGATGTTTATTTATACCTTTGATAAACCCAAGAGCAGTGGGCGTCTAAGAACCCAATATGTGGAGATTAGATATGCTAATTGTGTTCAAAGCTGCCAAATTAATGTGCACATTTTTACTGCAATGAACTAGCAAAAAATATAGATGCAGATTTTGTTTATAGAAATTTTTCTTAATTAAGCACATTTTCACTTTGTTAGCAGGCTAAGTAACAATATGCTTTTTTTCTTTGTTTTCAGTACTATGAAATGTCCTATGGTCTCAATGTTGAAATGCACAAACAGGTAAGTTATATATATCTTATTCACCCCTAACCTTAAATTTCTCCAGCTAGGGTGTGAAGTCTTCTTCAAGGGGAGACAATTTTGTTAATCAATCATGTGTCATGCCTAGCTACTGTGTCACGTAAATTATTGCTGTTTATCAAACTCACCACAAGAATTACCCCCATGTACAGGTGTTACATCAAACATATACGTAGAAAACTTGTTGGAAAGATAAACATAAAATACAAAATTTTAAAGCAAAGGAGCCTTTTTTAGGAGAAGATAGACTTATTTTTAAGCATGGGATGCATCATTGTCGCATTATCATATGACCACAAACCAAGGTATAAATTGACTCATAAGGGGAAGCTTACAACTTGTATTTAAGTGACACACTGAAGTGATAAATATTATCCTGCCAAATTTTTTAAAACATCTTTATTACAACCATTACTGATGGATGGAGAAGATGGAGGTCAATTACTGATGCATCTCTGGCCAGACTTTTAAAGAAAAAAGTATAACCCCACCTTCCATCTCTATCAAGCAAAAATTCAGATGCTGTTATAGGTCTGTCATATACACTTATACACTGAAACATCAACAAAAACATAACATCCTATTTGCTTTTCTAGAACTAATGCTATAGGACATTACTAGCTATAAGAAGTGCCCCCTGTTTGTGGTAATGATTGACAACAGGTGCCCTGTCTTATAAGCCTGTTTGACTTGGCTAGCTTGGTAGACACTACATGTTCATTCAGAAGAGTAAATGCTAACCCAGTCTGATTGGTATGATGGGAGATGTTTAGTAAACAATTCACTGTTGAACTCTGTAATGAGTGGGTTTGGCCATGGTTGTGGCCAGGTGCCAGTTGTGAGGGGGATCAGCTCATGTAGTTTATGTGTCTTACTGATACAGTGTTTGCAGTTTTTACACTTTTTTGGATTTTCACTTTCAAATTCTAACCATGCTAGATGCTTTGTATGTATAGAGACTGAGATTTTTAAATACAGTCAAACCTCTTTATCTTGAACTCAGAACTTTAACTTGAACTCTTTATCTTGGATCGAGAAAAAACTCTGAAATATCAGAGGATTTGAAATATTGAGGTTAAAATACATTGAAAAAAAGAGAAGTGGGAACTTCCAACTCACTTGGACATATCCATGGTATTCGAGATATTGGTGTTTGAGATACTGAAGTTCAACTGTATTAGTTTTGGTGTTAATGGTTGGGTGAGAATCATTGAAAAATACTTGTTGACAGGGGGGAAAAATTGAGATCTGCTTCTGAAGGGTACCAACCAAGAAGACATTTCACATTGTCCCTGTGTAAAGGGTTTCATTGCTGCTCTGTGTTGCTTGTTCTGGAGATGTGTGATCTTTGACAGTCTCTGTCTTCCCAGGCAATTAGTTGACAAACTCAGAAAAAACCCTCTCCTTGGTCTTCAAGACACTGCATAAAAATCAATTTTTTGTTAATTTCACTGTTAATAGCCTTGAGATTGGTGTTTCTCTTCTGTATCTATGGAAACAGTCTATTTTTCATGAGTTTTTTGTTGTTGTAATTTTCAACATGTATTTTTGCACTGGCACGTTAACCTACAAATGATAAATGTCAAAGTCTCTAAAGTCCCACAATTATCAACTAAACATAGACGCTGTTGTGTTAATTGAAAAGTTTTTGTTGTAAATGAACTTTTGGATGCACAGTATTAGTACATAAATTGATAATTTTCAATTATTTGAGCTATTAAGTTGTAACGAAGAATTTCCACAAAGTTTGAATTTATCTTTGACCAAGCTTAAATCATACAAATGGTTTTCATAAAGTGTGTGTTGAGGAGGTAGTTTTTGTCAGTTTCAAAGGGCATGCAGTTAGCACTTTTTGGCAAGTCCTTCGGAACAGCTTGGAAATGGATCGCTGATATATATCTGAATGAAAATCTGTGAATCGGAACGAGACAGATATTGAATTATCAAAGGAATGCAAAACAAGGTTTACTTTTTTGTTTTGTTTTGGTCAATAGCTTTATTTAATGAAACCATAATGGGGAATCGATAATAGTTTATTGCTAATATCTGATGAAGCCTTTTTCTAATATCAACTTGGTATTGTTGACTTGTTTCATATGCAAACACTTGAGATGTTGGAACATGTGAGGGGACCCGATCAATAGGGAATGGAAAACAATCCTAAAGCTTCATGACGGCCCATAAAGTTTGAGGCTGTGACTGTTTACTCGGTCAATATTTACCTAAGGTCTAAAAACCTATTCAAAAATTGTAACCAGCCTTGTGTGATATTGTCCCATTCAAAATATTCATTCCTTCAAAGTGCATGGAATAAAAGCGTTATAAAAAGAGGGGAAACCTTTAGCTGAGAAATGATTTATTGAAATAGCTCAAACTCATTAGACGGAGCAAATTTGCTGATCAGGATGAAAAAAAATCCTAATGGAAACCTCTCTTGTTCAGCACACCTTGAGAGAAATTATCATGTGTATCGATGTGCATCACCAACCATTTGTGAAATACCCAGGTGATTTGACACATAGCATTTAATAATATTATCACATACAGCAGACTCAGATGAATGGCCATGATAAGAATTCATAAAACATTCAGAGAGGTGAACACAAGGCTCATAAAACAGGATTAAAATGACTTCAATTTGACTAAAATTGATTTTTTCCCAACATTAGAATAGCGGTTTATTTTAGCATTTTCTGTATATTGAATCAAAGCCAGGCTGTGATTATCTGAATTTTAAAAATGAAATATTGAATGTGAGATTTTGTTGCACAGGCGTGCACTTCATTTTGTATTGCATAATGCCCATGTGTGACTTAGAGCTTGAGATATAACAGCTGAAATTCCATCCTCAACATCCTTCCCACTACCCCGAACATAAAAAAACCCTCCACACCAGTAAAGAGAGCCAGATCAATCTACCAGTCACCTCTGTCAGTCTATACAAAAGAAAGATTGCATATAGTGTGTATATATAATTTCTACATAATGGAGGATCTTATTGGTTCTTGGTTACCTTTGATTGACACAGAGGGTGGAGCTTGACTGAAATAGATAAACAGCATTACAGTACAATTTCATCATTGTAATTTTTTTCGGAACATTCTTCCAATAAAAAAAAGAAAAACTTTAAAAGGTTCAATGATCTGCTTTATTGCATTGAAAACCAATAGACCTTAGCTTGTGCGTATGAAAGCCAATGCTGCAGGAATGCACAGGAGCACTTTTTTTAGAAGGAGGTTTCATTTGAAATAATGCTGTTCTGTAAAACATCTGTTATTTGGTGTGGTTGATTGGCTTCCAGCACAAGATTTTCTTTGTCAATCCAAAGATTGTAGAGCATGTGTTTTAAAATATAATCAGGGAGAAAATATCCCAACCCTTTCATCATAAATGATTAGCAACCAAATACAACTGAACATGAGGAGTAAGTGGAGCATTTTCACAGCACCATACACAACCATCAAAAAACACAAATTTTAAACAAATTGTTTTGCAACAGATGGTAGATATTTGAACAAATTGGTGTATATCCCTTTACACTGGGAATTCAAGTCCATTGGAGTGTCCTTTTCTACATTGAGAATTTCTAGGTCCGGAAATGAGAAACGGTATGATGAATATTGACAGATTTTGGGCTTGACAGAAAGCCTGATCATTGCTGTGATTTAGTTACGGAGAATATTGAACACTATCTGCATAACAAAAACATATGTTTAATGCATCAAACATATGAAAGGCTTGTATAGAGCAGGATATTGGGAATAATTGTGTTTCAATCTCCTAATTGTAGCTCATCAGAATGCATCTAAGCTCCTCCAAAGCCATATTTTGAATAATGATTATGTATTGTATGAAAGAAATTAAAAAAAAAAATATCCTCCATCCAAAAAAGAGTCTTCACACCTGAACGAGCAGACATTAAGCAAGAGACATCAAAAGGTGTCAACATGCTTGTAAAAATTTGATAACAGCAAGACATGCGATCACATGACTTTGTTTCATGTGACATGAACATCTACTATAGTAACACATTCCAAATTTCATGTTGACATTTGTGATATGGAGGACTTTTTAGTTGTAATCTGTAATAAGTCAAGATTCATTAGAAACAGCTGCCAGTCATTAAGATGACAGGGAAGATACTATCCACAATTTTTAAACATATATTTATCAAATCATTTATTGATTGCTTAAACAACTTTGAAAAGACTGATGTAAAGAGCTGATAAGTCATGAAATGCTACAATATTGAATAAACTCCAATACCTTTATTTTTTAAAACGTATGTTTTAAATTTCTTTTGCATGTTATAATATCAATATTTTCCCTTTTTTTTTCCAGACTGAAATTGCCAAACGATTGAATGCAATATGTGCTCAAGTCATTCCATTTCTCTCTCAGGAGGCAAGTTTTATTAGCAATTCAGTTTCATTAAGCTAATTGCTTCAGCATATTTCATACTAAATGCCACATAAGAAGATATACTGATTACATTGATGTGGTGTTTATTTTTTTTTGTTCTAGCATCAACAGCAGGTTGCAGCTGCAGTCGAGCGTGCGAAACAAGTCACCATGACAGAACTCAACCAGATAATTGGGGTGGGTCAAACTTGAACAGCATCAAATTTTACTATGTGAAAGCATTATATATGTTTTACTTTATTAGATTTAAATGCCATAATGAATATAATTGATATCCTCTAATATATGAGAAATGATAATCAGATGATTAATATTGTCTTGCCTTTTACTACAAGTGTTGGAGTTTGATATCAATTAACACAGCATTGTCTGATGAATCTGTGCAGAGTTCAGTAGTGTACAGTGAAAAGCAATCTGTGTACTGTGGAACTCTCTACATGTTTCATAGTATGATTTAGAAAACCAGAAATATCCATTCTATACTGAATAAGTGTCAAGAACATCAACAATCCTTTATCTGTGTACATTGTGTTGAATTTTTGCCCCAAATCAATGTTTTTTTTATTTAAAAGTTAGATACCGGTAATTTGATAAAAGAAAATTGAAAATATCAATGTTAATTAATCAGAGATTTGTCACATACTAATGACAAAGCCCACTTCCTTCTAGCAACAGATGCAGGCAGGCCAACATCTAGCAGGTCATGGCCATGGAGCACCTCCTTTCCCAATGCCACCTCACCCCCCAGGGCTACAACCCCCACTCCCAGTCTCCAGTGCTGCTAGTCTTTTGGCCCTACAGGGCAGTGGTCTTGGACCCTCACATCTCCTCCAAAAAGAGGACAAAGGTAAATTGAAATGTGATGCATAGAAATGGTACACATGGTGCTTGATATGTAAATGGCAGAAGTATAAAGTATATCCTTGTTGCAGGAGATAATTAGTGTCACGGATCCCTGTCATATCATAGATTACCAGTTATCTGTTATTTCAAACCAGAAGAGGACATTAAAAAAGTATAAATCATTATCAAAGTTAAATTTGTGTGCATTGTTTGTTTTTTTCTTTTTTAAGGAAGAAAGATTTAATGAAAAATTTCTTGACTGAAATTAAAAAAGTTATCTAATACACAAAATAAGATAATGGACTTCAGGGATCTTGTAGGAGAAAAAAAAGCAAGCCCTTGAATTTTTTTTTTTTTTTGTATGGGTATTCAAGTGATGATGCAGGCAGTATTTATGATTGGCAAGTTGAACCATGGTACTTAAAAGAAGGGGAAAAAAATCATTGGAAAATGCAAGTCATAAATTGTATTATTTGGCTCTTGAGATCAGTGAAAGAGATGTATATGTCCTGTAGAGCTTGCAAGATGGAACTAAAGTCCCCTCATTCATATGACTCAAAACCATGTTATTTTCCACAGATCGGGCTTTAGATTAAGGAATATTGTATTGCATGCAATTTTGTTTGATGATCGCTTCTTGGGGTTGGGAGAAAATACTTCAAGATAAGAGGATTTGGTGTCAAAACCCTGGGAGAAATTTGAATTTATAAAGTGAGAAAAGGCCATTATTTGATTTATGTTGCCATCTTCCGGACTCCATGCATTTTCAAAGAAAATTGACAGCTTTCGTTCAGTAAATATGCATTAAAATACCCTGGGGTCAAAGTAATTGTTGTGTTTTTTGTTATAATTAAAGAATTTCTATGGCTTTCAGGCAGAATTAAATATTTATCTGGTATTGATTTTGTTTCCCTATCATTACGACTCAAATTAACTAAATCATTCACGTTGACTCTTTTTGATCGCAGTAGGGGGAAATCGGCAGTGATTGTTCAATGAACCTGTGTCATGGTCCACCAAGTTGCACTGCACGTATTTAGGATCCAAAATGTTTCCCCACAGCAGATTGCTGACGCCATTATATGCACAAAGGCTATTTTCAGAACATTTTCCTTCATTTTCAGTCCTGATATTATTAAATTACTTGCAAAGAAAGAAATTGACATTAAAGTTACATGAGCATTTTTTTTTTGGGGAGGGGGGGGGGGGGTCTTTTTTGCTATGAAAAAAGAAATGTTTAAAATCTGTAAAGCTCTTTTTGTCATGAATTTATCATTAGAATGAAATGGTGTGATCAAGATGATCGGCTTTAATGACATTGTCAGAGTCAATATTGTTTTAGCCCAGACCATGCAGAGTTTGGTATTGATTATGTTTAGGCGATCAATGAGGGTATTTGTGATGATTAATTTGAGTAAATAGGTGAGATATTTATCTAATTCATTCTTTTTTTTTCCTAATTGTAGAGGACAAACACAACGTAAGTATTCTGTTTTTTTGTCACTTTCTCTGTTTACTTTGTTCAATAACTGCATAATGTCATCAAAGGGAGATGGAGTAAAACCATATTTTTCATTTTCTATCTATTGTGGATATAGCAGGGTCTTAATAATGAAAACGTTGATTGATTAATTAATAACTTTATGGTTTCTGGAGTTGACCCAAAGAACTGACACTGAATTGACTTCTCTTAGATGGAGATGTGTTATAAGAGATTTAATTTACTGTGGTAATCAGATCGGAGAAAAGCTGTTACTAATTCCTTAATCAGATGTGTTACACGATTTTGGAATAGGATTAGTTTTAATATTAATCTTTTGATATCTCTGATAAGAGGTTAGGAATTATAATTTTTAATTACTAGAATTTAGAATTAATGGGTAAGTTTTTGCATATTGCAAGTACAAACAGGGTAGATTTCTAGAGTCTATTTTTGACAAAACTTTACTATCCTATAACAATGAAAGGTTTCTCACTGATGTAATACCAATTTTTCTTTTAAATGATATTTTTAGTAAAAGTCAATCATAAATGCAGAACATAGACTAGAATTCATGGGGCGAATTCATATAAACCCTCTGAATATTGGCCATCAGGTTTCATATTTGGCATCACCTTATTTTTTCATCACACTATGAAATGAGATCACTAGGGACCGCCGGATGATCCGTATTGGAAAATTAGTTTCACAGCTACTTAGAAAATATTGCTTTCTCAGCCGCTTAAGGGATTTGAGAGCTGAATTGAAGTGTGATTATAGATTTTATTCCCATTGTCACACAGGGAGGGAATTTCTCTCTGTTATAAGTAATTTGTAGTAGCAAGAGGATGCATGTAGTCTTTGTTCACTTGTCTGAAATCTGAAAATGAAACCATATTTCTCAAATCAGTAATATTGATCATGGTAATTTTATGCTCTTCATTGTTTCCATATAGTAAAATAAAACAATACTTGTACAAGCTGGATTAGGGAAGGAATACATTTAATGATAAATATTAAAATCAGTTTTTTTATTCTGTGAGATTGAACCCCAGCAGAAATCTGAGATAAAATGCTGATCCCTTCCCCAGAGAAATTTTCTCCATATTTGGTCAAGGGATTAGGCCTCCTTTCTTAAATAGGTTTTTATTTGACTAAGCACTTCTGCTAACAGATTTTACAACTTATCATGTGGCTAAGTACACCTCTAAAAAGTGGTACAATATTTACTTGTTTTTGGTCTTGTGTCAGCAGGGTTAAAGCATATTAAGGGTAAGCTGATCACATACCATGCTTCAATGATCTTCAATACCTTAATGCAGGCAGTCAACCATGATCTATCCAAAGCCAATGAAATCGAAAACGCTCAAATGTCCAGTCAGTAATCAACATTTTTACATTCAAGAAAAAAAGGTACAATTTCCTGGATGGAATTTATTTGACTGACTTAATTTTTTGCCAAAAATGGAAGTATTATTTTCTGTGAAGTATAAGTTTATTAAGAGTCATACTTCAGCACAAGTATGATTAATGTAAATAAAGGCAAAGGGTCCCATTTCAGGACTGCCATCAAATCAGACAGTACACAGCTTAATAAATAAATATCAGAAAAAATTCAAAAGAAAGTTTATGATGTGAGAAATGTAAATTTGCTTAGTTCTGTATGCCTTGATAGAATATTAGCTACTTGTTGAAGTTACGCACAGGCCATATTTACTCAAGATGATATTTAGTGTTTGCTTTGGTCTTATGACTGATTATTGGCACACAGTGCCATGTTTCAGTGGGGGCACTGAGTAAATATTCAGCACCCCAAATTATATATTTGTTATTTTCCCTTCTTTCTGTTGACTGACTGAAATGATAAAACATTCCTAACTAGTGGTGTATAGAAATAAAGCCAGATCTCCATAAATTGACTGAATCAATCCAAACTTCTTGTGTACCTTTACTCTGTGTACATTGCGCAAATGGATTGCTTTAGGTTTCAAACAAAACCATGTTGACACAGGCAGTGTTTATCTGGCCAAGCTATTTTGAAATTATTGAAGTCTTGTGGAAATAGGGATATACAAAGGTTACAGTAGCTTAATGAGTTTTGACATCCAAGTTTTTTTTTCAACTAAATTGATCTTTAGTCAGCCACCCCCTCTGTTAGATTTATAAAGAAACATTGTATACTAGTAGCTGTTCAAAAGGTTTCAATTTGTACAAACTTTGGTGAAAAGAAAAGATGATTGAAGTTTGTTGTTATTTGGCCACGACTGCAGGATGTTTTCTCATTGGGTGTTTACTATCAAGTATTCCTGCTGTATTTGGTCGTCTTAGTCTTGTTTACACTTCTTTTACAAGCCTAATATCAAACAATTAACGATTCAATGGGTTCCAGTCTTACAAGCTCCATTTTAACAGTTAAACATTAATGTCAATGTTTCGTTGAGATCTCAAATTTATCAACTTCAGTAAATTCCTGTGTCAACAAGGTTGTCTACGTATTTGCACAGGAAAATTGATATTCCTTGCAGGGAAACTTATATATGTTACCAAAATACACCTTGTCTGTACATGAAGATTGGTAAACTGTGCAAAAATACAAGACTGGAATGAGATTCATCAAATTAAGATCAGTTTAATCCCATTTAAATTTATTTTTGTCATGGTTCTGATACACAGTTTGCATTGGTAACCTTTTATCTTTGCTGAGTAGAGCCCCATGTAAATATATATACCCGTGGGGGGAATAAAAGAGAAAGGACTTTTCTAACAGATTATAGACATTGATTCAAAAGGTTGCAAGCTTTCATTTTTCAAATATTTGCTGAAATAAGACCTGCAAGGTGCAATTAAATATCTTATAAACCGTGGTGTAATCTTAATCAGATGTAAATCGGTACATTTTTTTTATTACTCAGTTAACATTGTAGTGTCATGGAGGTATAAGACATGTCTACTGGACCATGAAATGGGGGAGGCCAATTTTGGAAGATGATTGGAAAGATCTGGTCACTTGTCAGAAAAAATACTTCTTTCTCCAGACGTAGATTAGATTTACACTGCATGAACGAGTTAGTTGTGGTCTGATTACAGTGATAGGCTTTAAGCCAGATTTTATGATCTGCTGTAATTCGTAATTTTATTAAGGATCTCAATTTTTTGGCAAGCCAGTATAAAAATACCCAGTGAAGAATTTGATCCAATGTAACTGGACATTAACTGCAGGTAATCCATAATCTGAACAAAAGATACTAAATCCTCATGGGATCAAAAAGAGATTGGTCTATTTTCTATTGAAACCACTCCCCCCTGAGGTAGATTGATTGGTCTTAAGTGTATGATAAAGGTAAGTAATATATACCCCCTTCAAGGTTCATATTATGAAGAAATAATTCATCAAATACTACATGGGTGACTTGGAGTGTAGGTGATCGGTGTTTAAATGTGAGAAAATTAGTAAAGAGGCTTTGGGACTCCCTATCCATTTTTCTTTCCACATTTCATTGTGTTCTGTGTAGGGGTTCGGGGGAAGGTGGCAGGGATTAAATTCTGTCTGGGAAATCCTATTTAAGCTGTTTTAATTTAATCTACTGAATTAATCTTTCTGATGCAAGTGACTGTAAATGCATCTAATGCTGATAATTTTCTGTGGGGAGAAAAATTTATACATTGGTGACAAAACTGAGTCAATATCATTAATGATTTTGGGATAATATTTTCAATTTTAACTGTCAGATTTTGAGTTGGAAAAATAAGCTGGTAAATCTATAGTAAACATATCAGGAGACATTACATAACTTATGTTTGAATCTCAAAGCTGAAAAGTTCCTATAGATGACTTTAAGATCTAACTCATTATACCCTCTAAGGCATGCCTCCAGTCATTGAACTAAATACATCTGAAAACTAAATGTGTTAACGATTGATGGATATTGTCAGGTTTTACACTGATTTGCCAATATATTGGTGTATCTGGATTGTAAATGCAACCTTGCACAGAGATATCTTTTCAATGATAAAAATAATGATAAAGGAGTGTTCAAAAGCTGCAATTTTTCAATATGATTAAAATATCTGATTTATTGCAGTATGTTTTGATAATTAAATGAACAGAAATGGCTTTTGTCATGGAAACTATGTAAAATCTTGAAGGAATTTTGAAAGATTTTGGTCTGTAAATTCCTGTTTGCCATAGCAACAAAACTCTTTCCAAAAAATATACACCCATAAAGTTAGACACCTGCAACAAATTTTTCAATTATTCACAAAAATTACTGCCATATTTTAGAAGAGTAAATAGTCTGTCTATATCTTATCAATTTGTACTTGACTTATAGTAGACTGTACATATTTGTCAAATCCAAAAGGGGGGCATATTGACCTTGGAATAGAATTGTGTGTAAACACCATTTCATAGCAAAGGACAAGGGCCCTGCTGGACAAATACATATGGAGTATTTGAACACTGGAGTCATAAAAAGGCTTGACAAGCACTTCAGAGTAGTTCAGTTTATAATATTTGTTATTGTATTACAAGAGTCTTGGTGATAAAGAAGTACCTGTCATTGTCTCCCACATAGGGTTTGGGAAAGCTGATAAATTTAAGCTTCCATAGTTATATTTTAGAGCCAGGAAATTATCTTTGTGTCAATTAAAAAAAGCATTATTGTCATTTATAAAACAGAGTAAACAAGTAAAAGGAAGTTTTCAGTGTCTCTGTTGTTTACACTATATGCAATCATTGGGCTTCTGCACCCTGATGCATTGTTGTCTAACACTTCAGTGAAATAAACATTTCTTTATTTGAGGATAAAGTGTTTCAATACAAGTATTGCTAATCAAAATAGACCTAAATTTTGGCATAGGTGGTGACATGCCCTTGCATCTTAAACATTATTACAGGAATTAGAAACACTGGAAGTTCGGAAGTGATATCTTTTTTTGTTTGAACACATTTATGTAAAATACCTTTTCTAAGCCAGTGGGCATCAGGTATATAAGCTTCTCCATCTTGTGTCTGTCTTCATAGACATACACAGTATAAATAACCAATTCTGAGAGCAAATACTGAAAGTAGAGAAAGTAGGGATGTATTATTAATAGGGCACCATGTGATATACAGTTTATCTACATTTAATAAAAATGTTTGTTGAATGTTATGCATTACACAATAATTTTATTTAATTTTAGAGATCTTCTGCCTCTCCCAGTGAAAGGGAAAGAGAAAGGGAGAAGTTTGAACATAAATTTAGTGAAAAGTATAGCAGTCGAAGTAGGACCCCAGAGGTGAACGAATCCAAAAAGAGGAGAGTCGAGGAGAAGGAAAGGGTATGTATTAAAATAGCAACATATAATGATAAAATATAAAGGTACGATGTATGCATCATTAGCAAGATAATTCACGACTCCTATCTTCTAACTGATGTGGATAAAGGTTTTGTCTTAACAACTTAAGCTTTTAGAATATGTTCTGGCTAAAACACTTTTGATTGTTAATGCATGTAATCTAGTGTTCCAAAGAATAAAAAAAAATTAAAGTGAAAATAAATGTGATGGACGTGTGGAATTCTTCAAATATAGAGGTAGTGTGCATAAAGTGCTCTGAATAACGGATGTGGGGCTATATGTAACAAGAAAAAGATAACCACCAAATGCTAAATGGGTTTTAAGTATAATTTCCTGTTGAACATGAGGACCTATTTCCCTGGTACATATGCACGGCTCATTGATAATGAGAGGGTTTGCAACTATCACTTCATGGGCAGAACCTGTCCCTATTCAAGGGGAGCCTTCCTTGCTAACTTTGGAAATTCCTGATCCATTAAAATTTTAGCATGAGACAGTAAGGAAACAAAAAATGTCGAGAGCTTTTCCTTGAATTTGAAACCACTTGACACAAATTGCAAATTTCAGGAATATGATTTTGAAAAAAAAAATTGAAATAGAAATTATTATAAGTTTGATGTAAATTTGGTAATTTTTTGGCCCTAGACAATGTACAAATGTGTCAGAAGAAAATTTCACAGGAAATTAAAAATTTTTATTTTTCATTTTGAAGGACAGTGAAGGTGAAAAGTCTGATCAGGAGCTGGTGGTTGATGTGGGAGAGGTAAGGATAGCCAATAGAATTGATAAAAGTTATCCTGATTCCAGCAAATTATAATATAATGAAAGTGTCCCTCAAAGAAACTCTACATTAATTATCTAAAAGCAAAAAAGATCGTAATTTAAAAAAAAAAGATGGTATGTCTCATTGAATCCTCTGTAAACGAAAGCTCTTTAGATCCACCACTTGTTATTTCTTGATGAAAGAATGTCAAGATTACAGCAACAAATTACAAGGAAGAAAATGTGCACTATCATGTTTAGGAGGAACACAGATTAGACCTAGTATGCAGCTGTTCTTTGTCGAATGTCGATAACTTCCGATCATTCAAGTAGCCTCTTCATTCTTGGATTGGTTTGAACCCCCTCTCTTGTTGCCAGTTCAGGGATATCCGCACTGTTTGTAAAATTGGACAAGATGATTACTCTCTCTGACATCTTATCATAGGTTTTCAGGCTTCGCAGCCCTTTTTTGCTGTGGTTCAAGCTTTGATCAATTATAGATAATGCATCCGCTGGAGGCAATTAGAATAAAAAAAGTATAAAGCAATGAAGTTAAAAAAAAAAGAAGCATGTCATTATATAAAAAAAATTATCTTGATTTTTTGCATAAGTATACATATAGAAAAGTGAGAGTATCTGCTTTGAACTGCACATGCGCTTGACACAAAAGTTTGAATTTGTAACTGTAGATTCCCAAGTAATAAATGACACCAGACATTGTAAATCTTAGGTCTGCTTAGGTTTCACAAGCTCTCTCCTTTTTAGGACAGTGCACCTATGAATGGGGATCTTTCTCCCAGGGAAAAGGCAAAAGATTTAGCCAGCAAGAAGTCGTCAGATGATCGGATCAGTCCCAGGAGTGATGCTTCATCACATGGCAGTTCAACATCTACAAAACATAGAGATGTAAGACTTTGTTTCTCCTCTAATTACTTGCAGTGCCGTGGGCCATAATTATAGGACTGAAAGTGATCTAGCTTGGGAAATCTTACGGTCATTTTCTGTGTTTAATTTATTGCACTAAGGGATAAAATATACTGATTGATTCTTTCTCATATTCTAACACAGTTGATTGCAGCTGAACATGACATTGCTCTTTAATTATTAATTTGGTTCCATCTGATAGATGGATTTATGTAAAATGAGTATATTTCTGTTTTTTTTATTCAGTCAATTCCTAATGAAAAGGCTTCTACCCCTGTGTCAAAGCCAGCAACCCCCACAAGTTCAGGGAACACCACCCCGGGGCCATCAAGTGGAAGTGGTGGGGCCATCAAGCCAGGTGTGAAGTACCCCCTGGCAGGTGAGTGGGAGAGCGCCCCCTGGAGACGAGTTTGTTGATTGATACTAACGCCACCTGTCACTTCCTGTTATGTTTGGTGATGGTGCACTTTGATAAACATGACATCTTGAACTAAAGGGGAAATCCCATGAAACATTGAACTTGCAGAGATAAATTCCTTCAGTTTATTGCCTGTCAGATGCATAATTTGCTTATTTATGAAATAATCTCTGTAAGAGATACTTGAAAAAGTCACTCTGCTTTCGATATTGTTAAACAGTTTAGGTCCACCTAAATACAATACTCTTACATCACAAAATAGGAAACCTTGAGAAAATTTCAAATATTTCTGGTGACAAGTTTCCCTTTTTACACACACACATTGGGTTTTGAGTGTATAATTATCTAATAGTACGAGAGCATACTTAGATGAATGCAAACTAGGGCATTTAATTAGAAAATAAGTAGGGACTCTTAAGTTTACAGTGATTCTCTCTTTAGCAGAAGTGCCTTGTATGTATGGATAAAAATAAAACCACAGTGAAAATTTTCTTCATGATGTCTTGCTCATGTATAACAAAATACCATGTTTGATAGGGAAGTACACAGATACAGGACTGTTATAAATGGCCTAAGCAGTACTTCCTCCGCAGTGAATTGTTTTATTCATCATCTCAAGGGTCTTTTGAATGACTGAAATTTGTTCACAAGTGGGCAAGCCATTGAAGATATAAGTGAGAGAATGAAGTTGTTACATCCCCCCCCAATCTAAAGCAGGCATCAACAAAGTCTAGCTCAGCTCTCTCACTCCAGTCTTGATTTTATCTTTTTACACAAAATGTTTAAATGTTGAAGAATTCTAACCATAAATCATCAGGCAGCATAATTTTCATGTAATCTCATCAGATATTGTAATTGTTAAAAATGTTATGTAATTTAAAATAATGATTTCAACAGACAAGTAATTGATTAAAGATTTATGTTTTAGAAAAAAGATACAAAAGTATGAATCAATGTAACGAAGTGAACATTATTTTCAGGAACATATCCTCCTTTTCTGCCCCCAAATCATGGCATGCCTGCTGATATTTCAACAAATTACAGCAATGGAATTGGGGCCCTTCACAACAATATATCACCTAACAACATTACCTTTAACCACCGAAATCTATTCCAAGGTGATCCCCATGGCAACCCCGCCCATGCAGCTCATATACGACCAGCCCTGGGAAACTCGGCAGGAGGAAAGCCGTAAGTTGACCTCAGTCTTGGCATAAGTTGACCTTAGTCTTGGCATAAGTTGACCTTAGTCTTGGCCTAAGTTGACCTTAGTTTTGGCATTAGTTTACCTTAATCTTGGCCTAAGTTGACATCAGTCTTGGCATAAGTTGACTTTAGTCTTGACATAAGTTGACTTTAATCGTGGCTTTTTTTTTTATGTTTTCTGTGGATCATAATTCGTTGTGGCTGAAACCCAAAGGCTGTGTAATTAAATCTCATAAGGTTACAGAGATTCAAGTTCAAACACTTCATGTTTTATTTAATGAGAACAACTGTTACACATTTTGATTACAGTTCTTAAACGAAGGAAAAAAAGAATTTAAGTGCATTTGAAAATGTGATTAGCAATTAACGTTTTAACTGAAAATGAAGTTTAAAATTTTGCACCTGTACCAAATTAATTAAGTGGATTACAGGAATAAATTCTGAGGGTCAGAGAGCATAAATTTCTATGATGTAATGATGTATAATTTTAGTGCCTACTCGTTCCATGTGAGTGCTGATGGACAGATGCAGCCCGTGCCATTTCCACCGGATGCTCTGATTGGACCTGGAATTCCTCGCCATGCCCGACAAATAAACACACTAAACCATGGGGAAGTTGTATGTGCTGTTACCATAAGTAATCCAACAAGACATGTCTATACTGGGGGAAAGGTAAATATTCCTGATATAGGGATGATAAATCATGATATTACATTATATCACAGCACACAAGAGTAAATGCAGCCTCTTCTTTGCTTTTTCCTGAATTTTGTTTCCTGGGAAATGTGTTCTGATGAAAACGGTGACAACAATAATCATCTCTGTTGTAATAGAGGTCAAGTAGTAATTGACCTTTAGGAGATGAAACTTAAGCTAAAATATTGTGCCCTCTTTTTCTGCACTATCTAAGCATGATTCGAAAAAAAAAATCTCCAAAATTAACCCTAAAATTTTGAATTTAGAATGATGAAATATGAATAAATGTAATACATGTATGTCAAATTAATATGCTTTATTAAAAGATGAATTGAAAGAGATACTTTTTAAATTTTTATTGAATGTAGCAAAACAAAATTTGAACACAATATCTGTTGGAAACTAATTTATTATATAATCACTCGGTGATATGTGATTTATGTATAGGTGATACATGATATATGTATAAGTGGTACATGATATATGTATAGGTGATACATGATATATGTATAGGTGATACATGATATATGTATAAGTGATACATGATATATGTATAGGGATTTCTTATCAGATGTTAAAATTTGTTACAGGGTTGTGTAAAAGTTTGGGACATCAGTCAGCCTGGAAACAAGAGCCCTATTTCTCAGTTGGACTGTCTGGTATGTGAGAGTTAATTATCCCAAAATTAACTACAGATATTAACAATAACAATGAGAAAATTAACACACAGCTTCCTCCCTGAATTTCTTGTTTGTTTGTCTCTCCATAATATGCCAACATACAATACCAATTAGTGAAATCATAGAGAGTGTTAAAGTCAATTAGATTTTCCCTGGTGGTTAATCTAGGTGTTCCTTGGGGATATTAAAGTTTCAGTGTCAGTATCTTTGGCATTCAGTGAGATGACTAGGCAGTGGAATGTTTAGAAGTTCAGGGAAATGTGGAGTATTGACACTCCTTGACATTGTTTCATATGCCTATTTTCTTTCTGCATTTAGGTAAAGGTAAAAGATAGGCAAATAAATGCAGATATCTGCAAAAAGTAATATTTTATCTCACAAGACATGGTAATGAAAAAAAATTGATTTTATTCTCATTGGTAAACAAGAGTTTATTAGCACTTATGTCAGTTAAATTGTGTTTGGTATTTATGATTCATGTGATATTATTTTTATTTTTGTGCTGGTTGTGGTATTTGTTAATAATTGGATTCCATTTTTCTCATTTCTAACATGGTGTGGGATGTACAGAAAATTTGCAATTTCCGTTGTTTTATGAACAGACTCCATTTGTCTGCATGCAAAAATAGAAAAATATTCTGCGACTATAACATTGACGATAGGTTTTTGTGACATATCCCTTTGGTGATTTACATCTTTAAAAGCTGATTGCAGATTACATTTTTTCTATACTTTTAGTGATGTTTGATAACAGGCAGGATCTAAAAAAAGTACCTAGTATTTTATAAAGGCTGAAAATAAATCCTTAAGGAAAAAAATAATTCTCTGCAATACGTCACTGTAGTAAATAGTATACCAAAGACACAGCACTAACTGCCCTCTCTCTAGTCCTATTTACAGGAACATGATTTAATCATTGGCATGATCATGTCTATTACAAAACTCTGTAGAATTTGTCATAATGGTCTGATTCCAATGGAATTTGTCTTACCTCACAAGTATCTAATTTGTACAAGTCAATGTCCTACTGCAGTCAGTCATGATTAAGTTGGAAAAATGAGTTCCTTGGAGTTAACAGGAAAAAACGGGGAATTATTAATAAGAATGTACATTATTTGGGAAATCAGAAGTATACTTTAATAACCATGAATTTTATAAGGTTAAATTTAACCTACCATGAAATCTATGTGAATGCTTCAGCATTATTTTTGTTTAAAGAAGTCTAACAACATAGACATTTTCTAGCTGTCTTGTTGTTAATACAGTGGAACTTGTCTAATCTGAATGTTGTGCATTCCAAAATGTTGTCTACTGTGATGTAGACTTTAAGTCCCCTTTAGTGAATTCAGTTGTTTGAAATGTAGTCTAATCCAAAATGTTGTCTAATCCAGCCAGTTTCTATGGAACCAGTGGTGTCCAGAGTAGACAAGTTTAAATGTACTTAATTAAAAGGATTATTTGAGATATTGATATGTATTTTTTTGTCCTCTTTACAGCAAAGAGATAACTACATCAGATCAATCAAGTTACTCCAGGATGGGAGGACCCTAATTGTGGGAGGAGAAGCAAGCACCCTGTCTATATGGGATTTAGCTGCTGTAAGTATTTAGATGCATTTACTCAAACATTAAATTGAAGAGTAATATATATGCTCTGAAGTTCTGAACCAACTTGGTCCATCATTTCTATGCTTTTTAAATAATAAAAATAGCTTTTAAGCTCTTTCCATAATGTGTCGATATTGTTATGTGCACTTAAAAAAATAGAACACCATTCAATAATAATGTAGTTCATTGCACTAATTTTGTTCCTTGTGCAGAGTATATAAATTTACTAGTGCAGCTTTGTGTATATGACTTTGTCAGTACATGGTACTTGTATTTAGTGTACTATCAGTATGTGTTACTTGTATATGGTGTACTATTCATCAGTATTTGATACTTGTATTTATTGTACAATTCATCAGTATGTGGTACTTGTATGTGGATACTATTCGTCAGTATATGGTACTTGTGTGTAGTATACTATTCATCAATATGTGATACTTGTATTTGATGTACCATTTGAATGTAAATGGTACTTGAATTTAGTGTACTATTCATCAGTATATGGTACTTGTAGATAGTGTACTATTCATCACTCTGTGGTACTTGTATTTAGTGTACAATTTGTCAGTATATAGTACATGTACTTGCAGATAAAGTACTATTCATCACTCTGTGGTATTTGTATTTAGTGTACAATTTGTCAGTACATGGTACACAATGTACTCGTATATAGTGTACTATTCATCACTTTGTGGTAGTTGTATTTAGTGTACTATTCATCAGTATGTGATACTTGTATTTAGTGTACCGGTGTACTATACTTTGGCTGCTGCTGATACTTCATTGTTTGTCCTCGAATGACTCCACTTACTGGGAGAGTCAGCGTTGATGTAGAACCTAATGGTTGTAGACAAATGACTGCTAGGAAACCATTATAGCTTGGAATCAATCCATTGGCTTCAGGCATTTTCTGTCTGACTTTTCCTGTCTTTTCGTCAGTACAAGTGTTTGGACAATCATACTTATTCATTAGACATCATTTAGGATGCAGATTTAGCTTAATGGATGTCAAACATAGAGGCTTTCCAGTTTATGACTGAAAGGCATAAAAGTTGATTTTTACCTCTGAAATAAAAGTAGATTAGGTATGAGGGAGAGTATGAAACATGTAGATTGGTTCAGGGTGACAGTGATTATTTCAAAAGACTATAATGATGGGCTTTGATCTGGATTACATGGTTGTCTGTGTTATTTTATAAAATAAATGACAAAATGGACTGGAGGGGATGGGAAGGGAATTCTTTTTGATCAGAAAGATCTGCTACGAGGGCTTTTTGTATGTCATGATCTCTTTCACTTCCTCCTTGAAGCACTTAAATGCAAGTTATTATATAATACTGTTTTGATGATTGCTACCTTAGACAAAAAATGTGGTTAATGAAGCTATTTTCATTATATAGCCCACTCCACGCATAAAGGCAGAGCTTACTTCAAGTGCTCCAGCATGCTATGCTCTAGCGATCAGCCCCGATTCCAAAGTTTGCTTCAGCTGTTGTAGTGATGGTAATATTGCGGTTTGGGACCTTCACAACCAGACATTGGTGCGACAGTTCCAAGGACATACAGACGGTGCCAGTTGTATCGACATCTCTCCTGATGGCACTAAATTATGGACTGGTGGGCTGGACAATACAGTCCGTTCATGGGATCTCAGAGAGGTAGAAACATCTAAAATGATTATGTAAAATTAAAGTATAAAGTGACTGCATTTCAAAAACAGAAAAATGTTTTGTGAAAGAGAAGAAGAATCTCATTCTACTTTGCTACACTGATAGACAATAATAGCATAATTTAGAAAGGAAAAAAAATCTTTTGTCATTTTTTGAAAAGCAACCTTTTTGGATGAGCAGATCTTCTAAAAACAACAAATCTAATGGGATGTATATCATCTCTCAGGAAGTTTCTCTCTTCAGTTTACCAACTATAATCAAAATGTCAGCCATATTTTTTTTTCCACAACTTACACCAAGGTTCTGAAATTACAATTCCCTAGAAGATCATTGCTGATACTGTTGAGTATTTACGATTGAGTGAGGGCTGTCTGTTGTCTGCAGTAGCAGAGAGTATATGATGAGTGACTAGGTCTTCTATATCAGTGTTTGGATGATGCCTTATTGATTTCTCTTTATCTCAAACCCACAGGGAAGACAGTTAAAGCAACATGACTTCAGTTCTCAGATCTTCTCCCTTGGCTACTGTCCAACTGGCGAATGGCTAGCTGTAGGGTAAGTGTGAGCATTGCCATGTCCCCTAAATCCCAGGAAACCTGTATTAATTCATTGTATAGGTCTTTGTGGATGAATGTCTAGTTGTTATGGGAAAGCACATTTATGGATTAGCTTATTGTACCCAGTAGTGAATAGTAAATCCTATTGTCTGCTAACAGAACATGGACAGGGCTGTTGTAATTATGTTCACTTGGCTTTGAACACACCCTCAATTCAATTAAATAAGACTGGGTAATTTTTGTAGGTGTTGTAGACACTATAATTCTATATATTACAAAAATAGCCAAATTTAAAAGCTAAAAAACCACATAACTGACAGATCTGTATACAGTAGATATCTGTTGAGGAGACATCTTTTTTTTTTGAAGACAAGAGTCAGATTTGAATTGATATATCTCTGTACTGAATTTGTATTTTACAGAATGGAGAGCAGCAATGTGGAGGTCCTCCACTGCAGTAAGCCAGACAAGTATCAGCTCCACCTCCATGAAAGCTGTGTGCTGTCCCTCAAGTTTGCCTACTGTGGCAAGTGGTTTGTCAGCACAGGCAAGGACAACCTCCTCAATGCCTGGAGGACTCCTTATGGGGCCAGCATATTCCAGGTCAGGCTTCTTTCTTCTAAGTTGGTTGTGAGATGATTGTCAAAGTTTTCAGATTTATTTTATGACATGGTTTGATCAATTATAAGGTCAAGTAAAAACTCTCAAGTGGAATTTCACTTTGTAAATTATTTTTATATCAATAATAGATTAAAAAATAACAAAAAAGGACACACTACAAGCCTGTCCTCATTATTTGATAAACTAGGTGCCAGTTATTTAAATTTGTCAGATTTATTTATAATCACTGGATGAGATATTGTACTGTATTTTTTTTGATTATGATTTATGAATGCAGAATTCTTTGATTTTTTTTCTTCTTTCATTTTAACAAGAGATTTATTGCACTAAATTTTCCTGCTTCATTTTTCAGTCCAAAGAGTCCTCTTCAGTGTTAAGCTGTGACATTTCCACTGATGATAAATACATAGTCACTGGCTCCGGCGACAAGAAGGCCACATTGTACGAAGTCATCTTTTAATCCAGAAGTCTAGCGGGGTAAAAAACTGTTTACGTTCTTTGTTTTCCCTTGAAGAACTAATCCATTGTCTACTACAGACCTATTAGAATGGCAGAACAATGTGAAAAATGGCAAAATCATGTAGGGATCTTAAGAAATCCAGAAAAAATATGCAGAGCAATCATACTATATGATGTGTATTTATCTTCCGAATGATTTGGAAATGACTGCTGCAAAAATAAGCTGCCATCTTGGTTTATGCTTGAGTAGGATAGATTACCATGTCAAATGAAATGGATATTTGGTGCATAATTATAATTATCAAAGAGTTGGATGAGAGAAGAAGAGCATAATGAGTTCCTGCTGGTAGGGATAGGAGAGCTTGTTTAATTAAGCCAACCTGGGGTTGTGTGTACCAGACATTTGCAGATAGTGAAAAAAAAACTTGGGAATTGTTGTTAAGACAAAAGCTATAGAGTTTTCTCCATGAGAATTTCTGGCATTTATTGCGTAGCGACCAAAGTGTGGTTTGAAATGTGCAGGAGGAAAATTGCTTGTGACACGAAGTCAAGAGAAAGGATTTACTGTTAGCTTATTCGTTGGATGTGTCGGACAGATGCTTGTAATTATCTGAATTGCACAGATAAAATATACAAGTAAAACAAACATTTATCTGATGCAGATCTCAGAAGGTAGTGCTATTATACAGTGAAGAGAGAGATTTCTTGTGTATACAGTAGCAAGGAGTGAAGAAAATACAATGGCTTGTACAAATGTGATTAGTTTTTTTTTTTTAATTCTTGCCCCCCATTCGTAGTAGTCCCTGTGATTTTCTCTAAATAAAAAAAGAAAATGTGTGACAAATTTAGTATTTTTTGAAAAGTTTATGTTAATGCATTTTTTCTTTTGATTATGAAATACTCGTGAATGTGTTGTTGTGAACATGAACTAATTCTAGTTGTAAAATTGTCTGGTATTATGAATATTGGACAGACTGTGGCAGTTTATGTCAGTGACAGCTTTTTCCATTCTAGTGTATGGCAAGTGTAATGATGTTTCCTTGTTGAAAAGGGAGATATGTCAAAACTAGTTGATGTAAGCATTTAACATTTAATAAATCCATGATTGTGAAAGTGTCTTGATGATTTTTGGGGAAAAAAATGCTGATTGTTGTGTTGTGGATGTAGATAGACATTCAGGAGAATGCATGTTACATTTAGTGCTTTAGAATATTTTTCTTTGATCAGTGAGAATGAGAGAGAGAGTACATTTTGTATGTGTAAAGTACCATTTTCAAACTCCCATGTTTTCATAGTTCATTAAAGGAAATAAGACCAAACACTTTTTTTCTTCAATTTTAAAGAATTGGGAAAATTCAGTAATTATAAAATTTACTACAAAAATCCCACAAAGAACTGTTGTTTCTTGTCAGGGTGATATACTTTTACCAAAGCAAAGAATAGCCAGCATAAAATGGAGTGCAAGATACTTGGACTAAAAATCAGGCATTACATGTCTTAATGTCTAGTCACTGCTTTAACAACATGAAAGAATTGATGTCAAATACTATCTTGAAGGTGTATGCATGCTTCAATTTATATCCAATAGATCGGGGAAAGAAAAACTTTCAAGCATCCCAAGAAAGAAAATCTCCATTTATATTAAATAAATATTTTGGATCTCCATTTGATTGTATACCGTGAAATCTATGTTGCAATTTTCCTGAGGGAGCGTTTTGTAAACTGAAGATGTTAGTGTGTTTAAACATTGTAGACCAACTGGATTTGAAGACTTCACGAAAACTTGCACAAAAATAAGCTGTTATAAAAAAGAAATTGAAAGTGATTTCAGACTATTATTTGTTCATTCTGCTAAATATGTTTGCAATTTTATTGCAATTTTCTCAGATTACAAAAAATCACTATATTTGAACAGATAGCAATATATAACTCATTTTTTTAAATTGATAATAGATCAAATCACACTACTTGGTGAAGTTTAACTGAAAGTGATAATTCAGATACAGATAATCATTAGCTCTCTATGGTGAAATGTTCCTTAGGCCCTGTCTTGGGGTGGTATTTCAGTTGCCTGTCATCTCAGTTATGTATTACACTAGACATGTTATTGTTACTATTCTCTATTTTTGTAATTAAAAAAGTTCAAATATTTGGACGGTGTCTTGTTCTGGTGGTCATCTGGCATTTGTCAATTGTAACAACTTCATTTCTTGAAGATTTTCTTTTTCTTTTTCTGACCTCGTTATCTGAAAATGACTAACATAAGGGATCAGTGACCACACAAACTTCAAATTTAGCTTGTATTTTTCTGAAATATTTCTTTTTTTAAATTTTGGAAATAAGAGAAGTTGCATGCATTTTCTACGTGAGGTGATGTATTTAAAAGCACGTCCAAGTTCTTGCAATTTTGGCAAGGAATCCTGAGTGCAATATGAAACTCTTTTAAAACAAATATTAGAATTCATCACTACAAAGCTTTTAGAGTTTACTATAGTGTACTGAGTAGTTTGAATAAACAAATATTTTGAAGACAAAATTGTTAATACCATCTATTAGAGCATTGGAAAAAAATGTTTAATTGAAATTTCTGCTTATATACGTTACAATCTAGACTGTAGTCAAATCGGTATCTAAAGAAACAAACACTGCACTTCGTTCTTTACCCGTTGATGTTACCTGTACAAGTTGCTTGAACGCTGATATTAATTTTCAGAGATTTACACATTATGGTGAGACAACTTTATCAAATCTAGAGTGTAAACAAACATGATTACTGTGTAAAATGTCTTCCTTTGGACTTTGACCGATGACTCATAGAAAGTATGTTATTTATTTACATAATCCTGCATAAAGCTGTGCAATATATTCATTGCTGTTTATCTCTTCCCGGAGATAATGGAAAATTTACTTTTCGTCCATTGCGGTAAAATTTATAGAAAGGGGAGATAACACTCCTGGATATGAATTTTGACAATCATTTATTTTATTTACAAAAAAGATGGCATTTTAGATCCGACCTTTGTCCCTAGGTAATCTTATTTTCAAAGTGCACTTGCATTTCCCATGTTATATTTATGGCACGCCAAATGCACAACCAGAAGTCTCTGCCGAGACTGTAGCTTTACTGGTATGTACTTATAACAAAGGAAGAGAAAAGTAGCACTTGAACTATGCAACAGTGATGAATAGAAAAATGATCTTTAGTCTCGAAATCGAAAACTGATATACCGAATTATGTATCTTAGTGTAGTCTAGTTGTGTTATATTGAAATCAGACCAAAACTGTAGGAGGAGTAGCATTTTGAAAGTATTTCACAGATTTTTTTCTTCTGTTTTTAGTAACCATGGCAATGTCGTTCATCTATATATAGAATTATGTATCTTAGTATAGTTTACTTGTATGCCAAGTTATACTGAAATCGGACCAAATCTGTAAGATGAGTAGCATTTTGAAATAATTTCACAAAAAATATTTTTTTAGTGACCATGGCAACACTGTTCATCGAAATCCAAAACTGATAAACAAAATTATGTATCTTAGTGTAGTCTACTTGTATGCCAACTTATATTGAAATTACACATGGAGTAGCATTTGGAAAAATTATTTACGGACAGACCGACAGACGGACACCTTACTATCACAAAAGCTCTTAATTCTAGTCTTTTACCAGTAGAGCTAAAAACGGGGTAACCATAGTTTATCTGTATTGTAGTTTATCTGTATTGTTAATACATTAGGCTTATCAATCGTAAACTGTAATTTACGAAACGTATATTATAGTTAACAATCGTAAACTATAATAGTTTTCATCTGTAAAACTACAGGTAACGATTGTAAACTATAGTTTACGAATATAAACCGAGTTTGTTCTCAGCCTGTAAATAAATGTTAATAACATTTATTGTTGATGAACAAATATTCTCCTTTGTAAACGATCATTAGCATTCGTTAACAATAGTTGAGAGCTGATAATCATAGATTCAAATCGTGAAGCTATATTTATCAAATAAACTGTTGTTGTTAACTATAGTTAAGCGTTGCTAACCTTAGATTACTAATTGTGAAACTTTATTCGTATAATATTTTCACTGAAACATAGGTTGAGGTTTAGAGATGTTAAACGTAGATTATCGTCGTTAACTATAAACGTACAGTGCTGTAGCTTACTCTTCGTGAACTATAGTTTACAATTGACAAACTAAGTTAATCACCACACTAGTTCTAGCTCATTTTTGTGAATTTTGGGGTGCCAAATTGTTATACATTTAAAAATTTCCTATATAAATCTGGGGTCCGTTTCACAAAGCTAACTTAAGACTAAGTTGTATCTTAGGAAAGAACTTTTTCCTAAGTTCATTACTTATCCGTTTCACTAACCTCGTCTTATCTTAGGATATTCCTAAGTTGTGTCGTAACTTTAAGACAAGTAAATCAATAACTTAGAAGAAACTAAATATGACGGCTGTAGATACATCTACACGGATTCTTACAGAGAGATACTGTGTGTGTTCAGGGAGAGAAAAAATCCAAAGGACTACTTGTATATGAATAATTGTGATCCCTTCAGGTTATAACTGCTTTACTTTGTATGTAATAGCTAAGAAAAGGATTTTAGAATTGTCAGAGATGGTCTGTATCACTGGTCAAAATTAATCCAAGGTATATAAAAATGTCCATTGATGAAACTGGAACTACAAATTCATTGTTCTTATAGAATGTTTGATTTCTCACGAATTCGTGGATTTTCCAATGTTACTATACGAAATAGATGGTACACATGTTGGATTAATTTCCCATCATATAAAGAGCACGATAAAACTGATTGTATCTTTTCGAATTCTCCCCTGGGAGGGAGGAGGCGTTGGAGAGCAAGACTTTGACTATTTTTCCTCTGTTTCCGTTACAGAATATTAGGTCCCATTGTCCCTTTTTGGGCTGATTTGTCACGGTATAATTATGCATTAAGAATATAATATATTTCCTTCTTTCAACTTTTTTCCTATTACTGTAAATCACTTTTTATTCGCTAGAACTTCGTTTTCGTGAATATATTTTATTCATGTGTATATTTTTAATGTAGAGTATTATATAACCTAATAACCTCAGCTAGCGAAAATTTTGTCTCGCTTATTAATGGCAGATAGCTATCTCGCGTAAAAAAAGGTGTCATGAAAATATAGTGATCTACAGTAGTATTGTTATTTCCACAGTCGTGAATTTGGAATTTCTTTTCCATGCATCGAAAAATTCGTATTTTAAATATGCGAGATAGTCTTGCACAGTAAATATGCACAACTGGCATGGAGCACTCATTCGAAAAGAAATGAAAAAAGGCCTCTGTTCGATTGCTAGCCCTTCGAAGCAATCGTTTTAAATTTATTCCATTTACTAATTAAAACGGTACTAGTAGAAAAGTATAAAGTAGGGGAAAAATTAAAAAAAATTAAACAATTGCAAAACCTCAAATACCTTATACAGAACATAATAAAAGGTAAACATATAATAACACAAAGAATAGTTTAAAAAAAATACATGTCTTGTGACCGGGGGGGGGGGGGGGGTTGTGAGTGTGTGAGGACGTGTGTGCGTGCTAATTTCAAGCAGGAAACTTGTCAAGGTTAAACCATTGTCCTGTCCAAGTCTTTTAAAGATGGTGGGTAACCCCCAATCTCCCGCCCCTCCCCTTTTCAAGCTTAAGTTTTTTTTATTACTTCAAATAACCCGACTCAAACTAAAGAGATTTTTCTCATACTGACATCCTCCAAACAGTATGCTGAGAATTGTAGAGTGGAGAAGTTATTTCATTAGTCCGTAACACAACTTAAGAAATGTCTTAGGATAAATTTAAGTTAAGAATGTTTTGTGAAACAGCTGTGAATATCTTAAGTTATGTCTTATGAAATATCCTAGGAAACCTTTGTGAAACAGGCCCCTGTACTAAAAAATTAACATTTCCAATGTTTTACTAAGCGGTCCAATTAATTGATGTTGGAACCGCTAAGTGAGATTTTGGACCTGTCGATGAGATATTGGACCGCTATGAGGTTTGTTACGTCACACTGTAGACGGGATCAGCTACATGTACATCTTAGGTGCTCGACAGTTAATGAATTAACCGAGTTAAATCC